TAAATGCAGTCAAACTAGTTTTTGATATCCCAGAAGCAGAATACAAAGCTTACTGAAAGTTTCAGTGGTGTAAAATAATTGAACACAACATGCTATCTGCAATCCAGGAACAAGATCCCCAAAGCAAATTCCAAACTCACCTCAATCATTAAATGTTGTGCAGTTTGGAAATGCACTTTTCATGTCTTCTAGACGTCTCAAAGCGCCTCACAGAATATACTGTAAAGTGATTTGATTATATTTGCAGGCAAAAAGCAGCAGCCAATTGCACACAGCAGTGTCCCACAAACAGTCATGGATTGAAGTGACTAATTTATTATTTTTTCTCTTGAGGGATTATTATAAGGAAACTTGCCCAAGATTTTGTCCTGCCGGGAATTGAACCCAGGTTTCTTGCTTGCGGGGCGAGTGTTCTAACCACTGAGCTGTAGGACTCCATATTTTGGAGTTTTGCCAATTTTTGAGCATCTCCCAACAAAATAAGATGATATTGGTATATTGCACATCAACGTGCAAATCTCACTGATTTAGGGGTTTGGTTTCACTGTTCCTTTAATTTCACTCAGTGATGGTGGTTTTCTTTAACTATTGATAATTCTTGGTCAAGGTCTCAAAGCGCTTCACAGAAATTGCCAGACACCGAGCAGGGAGGGTAGGTACTTTCTACTCGGTTAGAAAATAAAGAGTCAAGATTAACGTTTTCAGTCAAACTATACATTTAATACTTTGAGGTAATCGAGTGTTGCAAGTGTAGACATCAGGATGCATCTTTAAAAACAGAAAAAAGGAGATTTGTTTTTAAGTCAGACCATCAAGCTTCATCAATGAACATGTAATATTTATTAAATAACCCAAGTACATTTATAACATTCGAATGAATGTTATATGAATGGTTAGAATGAATAAATCACTTTAGAATACTGGAGCAGAAGGAAAGCCAAATATAAATTGAAAAAAAGCAGACGGATGGATGAAGGAGAGGAAACTTGTGCAAAATATGGTTGAAATACACAGTATTTGAGTTGAAAAACGCATCAGGCCACTGCTCCATTGTCTTAGTGCAGTGGTATCCAACTTTTTAGGGTCGACCAACCAAATAAAAACTCTTCATTCATGGCCAGGCCATGGGTACCTACTGAATTGGCATAGACTTGCCTGGACTAGGGCAGGTGTTTGATGGGCCATTTCTTGACGCCACAAGAAGTCGATCGGGATCAACGAGTCTTTAATGGATAATTATAGCACTCTAAATTATGCTGACTGGAAAAGTCGAGAGTCTGGGCAGAGTTTCAGCATATCTCAGTCCAGGCAGCGGCTCCTGGGAGTGGGGGTAATGCTACAATGAAAACATTCTGAATTATAGTTAACCATTAAATGGCCTGGGATCCAGCTTATTTGAGCAAACAACAACCAGGAAAGTAATTTCTCCATTCACGCGAATCCAACAAACTCCTCCCCCACCATCCCCAACCCTCATCAATAAAAGTCAAGAGAAAACTTCTCTTCCAAATGTAGCCACACACAAGCTGGTCTCTGGTCAAGTTTTTTTTTTGTCCCCTTTGCAATGGCTATTTGGAGTCCCTCAGATACTCTTCTTTCACCTACAATGCAGAAGGTTTTCTAAACCCCATTCCTTATACAGCACAATAAGTTGCAGATCTGCTGCTTCTTTGACAGATAATGAATTGCCATTTTAAAATTTTCTACTACTACAAAGTCAAGGTTTCTGAGCACCAGGTAAAACTTCCACCAGGTAAAGCTCCGTACAGGAGCCTTTTTGGGGCCTTCGGGAGATCGGAGAATGAAGCCAGGTGTGGGGGCGACTAGACCAATGGTAACATTGCTGAGGAAGTATGTGTTAAGTATTAAGGAGTGTGAGCAAGAGACAAAAGCTGCAAAATTGAATATAAAAAATTGTTTACCTATTTACTCTGAAATTGTTAACGGTAAAATATGTTAAGGAGAAAAATAACTAAAAACAAATCAAAGGCAAAGGGAAAACCTCGTAAATGTAACTATATATTTGTATAAATAATCCTAAATGTTAAGTGGAGTAGACACTATAAAGGGGTAATGGCAACACAGTTAATGTGTCAAAGCTGCAGTATGTGGGAATTTGTGGATAGTAAGTCTGGTCACATCCTTGAGAAGTGTACGTGTCTTGAGTCACTCCTGCTCAGGGTTTTTGATCTGGAGTCATGTTAGAGACACTCAGACACATAAGGGAGGAGGAAGAATATTTGGATAGTTTACTTCAAAACATAGCCACACCACATAGAGAGGTTCAGGAAGAGGAGTGTGAGATTGATAGCCAGCAGGGTAGTATTTACTTAGTCGAGCCAGAGAAGGAGGCACTGGTCCTGTCCAACAGGTACAATGTACTTGCTGCATTGGATGAGGGGAAGGAGGCCTGAATGCAAACCAAAGCACCATAGAGCAGAAGGCAGTGCAAGCGGGGAAGGAGCAGGATAGAAACATTGTAGTTATAGAGGATGAAGTAATTAAGGGGATCGAGGGTATCGTGATCACGAGTCCAGGCGGATGTGTTGTCTTCCCGGTGCCAGGGTAAGGGATACTTCAAAGCAGCTGGGAAGGAACTTGGAAAGGGAGGGGAAAGAACCAGTTGCCGTTATCCATGCAGAAACTAACGACATAGGAAAGAGCAAGGAGGCCCTGCTAAGGGAGTATCAAGAGCAAGGGGTTAAATTAAAAAACAGGACCTCGAAGGTGGTAATCTCTGGATTACTACCCAAGCCACGTGCAAATTGGCCTAGAGATAAACAGATCAGGGAAGTGAATATGTGGCTGAAACAGTGGTGTGTGAGGGAGGGGTTCCATTTCATGGGACACCAGCACCAGTGCTGGGACAGGAATGAGTTTGTACTGTTGGGATGGCTGCACCTGAACAGGAAATGCTTAATAAAGTGAATATAAATAAAAAAATGGTAATGGAGAAAATAATGAGACTTAAGATAGACAAATCTCCAGGACCTGATAGTTTCCACCCCTGGGTGTTAAAGGAAATACGAGAGAAAATTACAGATGCATTCATCATAATTTTCAAAGCTCACTAGATTCGGGAATTGTACCCTTATATTGGGAAATTGCGAATGTCACCTTTTTTTTAAGAAGGGAGGGAGAAACCAGGAAACTACAGACCTATCAGCTTAACGCCAGTTGTAGGGAAAATACTGGAATTCATCATCAGGGACAGAGTGACTGAACATTTGAACAGGTATGAGCTCGTCAAAGAAAGTCAGCATGGGTTTGTAAAGGGTAGGTTGTGTCTGACTACTCTAGTTGAATTTTTTGAGGTTACCAAAATGGTAGATAAGGGAGTGCCTTTGGATGTCGTTTATATGGACTTTCAGAAGGCGTTTGATAAGGTTCCACACGAAAGAATTTTAGTGAAAATGGAAGCGCATGGAGTCAGAGGTAACCTTGTGACATGGTTCGGTAATTGGTTGGGAGGCAGGAAATAAAATAGGGACAAAGGGAACGTTCTCTGATTGGCGGGACGTGACAAGTGGTGTCCCCCAGCGGTCTGTACTGGGATATATATGTAAATAAATGACTTTGGTGAAGGAATGTCAAGTTTTATATCCAAGTTTGCATTAAGCTAGCAGGCTCAGTAAGTTGTGTAAATGGGAGTAAGAAGTTACAAATGGCTTAGACAGATTAAGTGAGTGGGCACAGCTGAGGCAGATCGAGTTCAATGTAGGGAAGGGTGAGATCATTCACTATGGACCAAAAAAAAGCAGAATATTTTCTTAATGGAGAGAAATTAAGAACTTTGGAGGGGCAAAGAGATGTGGGTTTCCATAACCACAAATCACTAAAAACTTGTTCCCGGGTGCAAAAAGTAATCAAAAAGGCAAATAGAATGTTGACCTATATCTTGAGAGGCCTGGAATACAAAGGGGAAGAAATGATGCTTCAGTTGTGTAGAGCGTTAGTTAGACCCTATCTGGAGACTGCGTTCAGGTTTGGGCACCACACCTCAGGAAAGATATATTGGCCCTGGAGGGGATGCAGGGCAGGTTCAATAGAAAGTTACCAGGCCTAACAGGGTTAAGTTATGAGGAAAGGCTGCGTAAACTTGGATTGTATTTCCTTGACAATAGAAGGTGGAGCGGTGATTTGATTGAGGTATTTAAGATACGGGGACTTGATAGGGGGATATAGAAAAGCTATTTCCTCTGGTGGGGGAATCCAAAACAAGGGGGAATAGTCTTAAAATTAGAACCAGGCCATTTAAGAGTTAAATCAGGAAGCATTTTTTCACTCAAAGGGTGATAGAAATCTGGAATTCTCTCCCCCAAAAGACCGTGGACACTGGATCCATCCACACCTTCAAGAGTGAGGTTGACAGATTTTTGGTAGGTCAGGGTATAAAGGGATATGGGGAGAAAGCGCAAAATTGGAATTGAAAGGATTAGCTGAGGTACAGATCAGCCACGATCTATTTAATGGCGGAACAGGCTCAAAGTGCTGAATGGCCTCCTCCTGTTTCTGTGTTCCTCCTGATTTGGTGTACCACTTAAAAGTACAAAACTGCCAAATGAGGAATGGTACATCTATTTATGCAGAAGTTCAGTGTAAACATTTTAAGGGCCAACATGACACTTTACCTAGTTTGTTCCAAATCTTGCGACTCATTCTTTATCAAGTTTACATAGTACGACAATAAATAGAATCTCCTTTAAAATACATATTGTCATTAATGAAACCTGCATGCTTACTGTTTAATGCCTATCAAAAACTTTCCAAATATGGAGAAAGTTCAGTTGAAGCACAATGTAAGAATACATTTCTCTTGAGATTTGCTTATATTGTAATCTTTAAAACTGCCTTGCAAGCACCACCTTGAAACTGATACCATGTTCTACCACTTACTGAAAAGCAAAATACTTCCTCACCAGTTTCCAGAATCAGTTATGCTGACACATTCAGGCCAGAAGGTGAAAAAGGAGACTTGGGTAACATATTGAAGACAGGTATTGCTGGCATCCTTTTAATCCTACGTAGGGCCATACAATCACAAGGCTAATTTAAAACAGTGCACTAACATGTTGTCACAAGTCATTCCAGCCAAGCAGATCATAAAGTGCATTCCACCCTGTACTATGCAGTTCAACTCCTATACACAGAACCAAATCAATAACTGCTTCAGCAGATCAAATGCTTTTTACCTCCCTTCCCTTTTTCTCAGCCCCACCCACCCCCATCCAATCAGCATGTGCCACGTATGGGTTTTAAGTGTACGTACATTTAAAAAAAAGCTTGCAAACAAAACATTGGTATCCATTTTCCATTGAACACAACAAGCATACACAATGCAACATACTAGCTTTTTTGTTGGGTATTAATTGATTATTTTGTCTCGTTTAATAAAACAAATGGATTTAAAGGATGACCCGTGACCCACCCTTGACTAAGTTAGACAATTTCAGCAATTACAGTAATTAGTGCAAATAAAATTAGTTGTCACAATATTGCATTTCACAGTTAGGAGAATTTCAGATTAAAGCATCTATAAAATTTGAGAATCACCACAAGTCTTGATTAAAAAAAAGTGAGTACCTCATTTGAGTTTCAGGTGGTTGCAGTAACAATGCAGTTCAATTGTTTACTTGAACTCATCTGTAATCCGGTTAAAGTACAAATTTTAAATAGTTTATTATTGTCCAGTCAATACAATTGCAGACTTATCTTTAGTCTGGTCTCACATAAAGAACTGTGTGATGAAATTAGCCAAACCCAATACCATGATGAGACTATGGAAAGCAATTGACGACCACTTCAGCTGTCTTTGGCGTTTGAGTGATATCATGTGAACAAGGGAAGGGTAAACGAATACAAAGGCAAGGCCACAGGTTGCTCCCGAATATCTGTGTTGGAAGAAAACACAAAAGATAAAAACATTTAAATAAAAACACAGAATTTCTGCTTGCATACCTAAATGCAGAGTACAGAGGAGTAATAGTAAAGGCTCTGAGTTTGCCATCAGCACCCTGGGACGTCCTCCCGATGTGAAAGATACTGTACAAATGTAATGTGCTGTTGTCGTTATGAGACAGGAATTTGTCTTTAAAAAATATTGATACGTGGAGATTGGGGGACACATTATTGGAACAATACCAACTGCATCAGCCCCAATCATTCCACCTCAAAAAATTACACATCTTGAAATTCTGAATGGGGAACACAAGCTGAAGTCATAATATCTCGGATTCAAAATACAATCTCGTCGAGTAACTAAGTCAGAGATAGTAGGAATTGCACGCGACAACAAACAATCATATAGCACCCTTCACACACGACAGAGACTGGGAGGCTTAACAGTGGCAGAGCTTGTCAGCAAGAGAGGAACGATGACCTTAAACAAGATTGAAGAGCAAGATCTTCAGGCGTGATCTGAAGACAGACAAGGAAGGGACGAGGGCGAGAGACTGAGGCAGAGTTCCAGATTCTCGGGGCATATAGTAAAGACAATTCTATACCAAAACAACTTCAATTCAATTTTTCAAATCAGGCATTATTGCAGTCAAACACATTACAGACTACAGCAGTTACCCCAGATTTTCCTACTGTAACTAATATTTTTCATATCCTGGAGACACAACACCCCAACGTTAAGCATATGAGCTTTGAGAAATCAGTTTCAATTTAGAGTTGCGATAATCCTGCCCATTATAGTATAAAATGCCAGGAGATTTAGTGAAAGGATCCTCAGCTAAACTGTCCTCCAAAGGCAAATCATCACAATTTCAAGAATCCCATTGGGAACAAACACATTTAAAATCATCTTAAAGAGCTCTCCAGATCACTTTGAAATGACAATTGAACAGTCTTGCATAACAGCTCAAAAAATAGTTTGATTAAAATATTAAATGGATCCATAAATACCTTATAAGGCCACCGATATTGGGATAAAACCTTGCAACAAGGACTCCAGTACATATAATCAGAAGGTTTAGGATGAAGACGTGCAGAAAACTGTAAAGAGAATTGGACAGGGTGATGAAGGTGCTATTGCGGTGGCGAAAGTAATAAATTTGACCTTAACTGGTCCTTGGAGCTTCATTGGAGTTGTCCGTTTACTAAAACAGTAATTAGACGAAACCCAATCTCAGTTATTCTGGAATAACCAATCCCACACAATGCATATCCTGATGGCATACTGTGAAGCAGACAAATTAGTGCTACTTAAACCCAAGTAGTTGAACCTACTTAAACTCAAGCACTTAAACCCAACCAAGTTGAGCAACTACATTAAGCATAGAGAAGCCATTCTCCTCACACAGAGAAGGTAGCACCCAATTGTTACTCTCTTGATGAAAACCAGCAGGAATATTCCCATCTGGAAGTTAATTTGAGAGACACGAACATCAATTGCAACAAAGTCCACAATTCCCCCTCCACCCACCATGAGCTCCCGTCCAAACGTGAGGCTAATCCCTATAATTCTTCTGAACGAGAGGAGAGTGTTTACAACAGTCTGTGAACAGATGCTTGTACAACATTAATGTTTGGCTGCTAAAATGTAAGTGTAACAGGAAAACCCTAGATATCTGACTCAAGAGGGAAGATCTTTAAAATTATGAAATCTCCACTGGTCAGTGAGACAATGACCAGGGGGGCATCAATTCAAAATAAGTAGCAAAATTGGAGATTAGGAGGTTGTTTTTATTTGTTTAAGAGTTGTTAGGATGTGAAATGCTCTGCTAAGTGTAGTGGTCAAGACAGAACTCTTTAGCCTTCAAGAGGAAACCAGCCAGATATTATAAAGGGAGTAATTTACAGGGTTATAGAGAAAAGGCAGGTGAAGAGGACCGAATGAATTGTTTAAAAAAGCCAGCACAGACACAATGGGCTGAACGGCCTTCTGTTCTGTAAATTTCAGTCATCTGTGGTCCTGTCAGTGAATTGCAAGAGTAAAAAGCAGAAGATTGCTAATGTACCAGGTTTGAGATCAATGATATGGTAATGGAACAATGATAAAAGGATCCAGGACCAAACAAAAATGCACTTGAATTTCAATGATTGTCACAATTAACAACAACAACAAGATTCCATTTATAGAGCGCCTTTCACGTCGGGAGGACGTCCCAAGGCACTGTACAGTTGGGTCAGGACCCGAGCAGGGGGAAATGGTCAGGGTGGAGGGAGGGAAGGGAGGGGGCAGAGAGTCGAGAGGGGAGCTGAAGGCACGGTCAAAGAGAAAGGTCTTGAGATCGGCCTTGAAGGATGAAAGGGAGGAAGCGGCGAAGGCACTGGGGGATAGAGTTCCAGAGCCTAGGGACTGAGATGCTGAAGGCCCGGCCAACCGATGGTAGGGCGGTTAGGGCGGGGGATGTGGAGCAGACCGGAGCCAGAGGAACGGAGGGTATGGGCAGGTAAGTAGGGGGATAGTAGGTTGGAGAGGTAGGAGGGAGCAAGGCCGTGAATGGCCTTGTAGGTGAGGATGAGGATCTTGAATTCAATCCTCTGGGGGATGGCAAGCCAGTGGAGGCGAGCGAGGGTGGGAGTGATGTGGTTGCGAAGCCTGGTGCGGGACAGTACACGAGCTGCAGAGTTCTGAATGACCTGCAGCTTGTGGAGGGAGGTGCGGGAAGGCCGGCGAGGAGAGAGTTCCCATAGTCCAGCCTTGAGGTGATAAAGACGTGGACCAGAGTTTCAGCAACGTGAGGGGTGAGGTAGTGCCGTAGTCTGGCGATGTTTCGGAGGTGATGGAAGGCGGTGCCAGTTGTGGCGCGGATATGAGGAAGAAAGGACAGCTCAGGGTCGAACAGAAATAACCATTTCACAAGTACAAACGTACATGTTGGATAAAACGAGTTCACAGCAAGAACTTGCATTTTACTGCAGACTGTTACTTTGCTTCATTGTTCCATAAAAGTGGAGCAATTTGGCGAAGAAAACGGATAAAACATTGCAGAACTAGACAAAAAGCAAATGGCAACTTTGAGAGACCATCCTAAACAAACAGGAATCGGAAGTGGCCGTAGACATATAAACAAAGTTGGGATAGGATAAATTGGCAAAAAGAAAAAAGCAACCAATTCAATTCACACCTGGGATATACTTTTCCAAACAACTGTACCAACAGCTGAACTCGAACCAGGTAGCCCAGAAGCGGGTAAACAGTTGTCATCTGAAACAACAGGAAGACTCTGGCAATAAATGCCATGACATCATTGCTGGGCAAGTTGTCCAGAAAATTCTGTGAGAAAAGAAAACAAACCGTTACAGAAATAAAACAGAAAAACCTGAAGCGACACTATAGTAAAACAGCACAAGGTTTTCAATTACTGAATGTAATTATATCATGACATGCCAAAAAAGTTAATATAAAAGAAACTCTAAAAATATACAATGAAAACAGATCAGCTTCAAGCTGGTTGACGGCCAATTTTCCACTTCAGGTGTGTGGCTACAATGACTATGTACATGCCAAGGCACCAGTTACACTTTTCCTTGCAGCAAGTGCCTCAGTTGTGGGCTGCCAAAAACTTATTATATTTGCCGTATATTTAGAATATTTTTTAAACAATTGATCTCCTAAGAATAGGTAGGCAGGAAAAAAACATTAGACTTGCTTCTTTAACTGCACTACTTGAGTCGTGAGAGTTGTAATAATAATAATACTTGCATTAGAGTGGGGAGGGAAAATATGACGAAGTGAGAGTTGTTTCACCCACAAAATAGTCAATTCACTTTACAGTAAATTCTGTGAAGCGTTTTGAGATATCTCATCGATGTAATAAGGCGCTAAATTAAATGCAAGGATTATTAATATTATTACTGAGATTCTCAGTTACAACGTGAAGTGATTTGAGATGTTCTCTTGAGCTAAAAAGGCGCTATATAAATGCAAGTTGTATTCTATTCTAGCAAGAGAAAAATTACAATGATAAATATTAAAGGAGAACAACCAGGAGAGTGGGGTGGCTCGTATAAAGAAAAAAAATTCAGTATAGACTTGTTGGGCTAATTTCTGAATCATAACATGCAATGATTCTACGTAAATAGTTTCAATCAAGCTACTGGAAAGGGAGAACGTAGAGAAATGGACATCAACCCATCAGAATCAAGGGAAAAGACCACCTTGTGCTGAACGTGCTATGTCCCATTTAGTTTATAGCACTGCCTGAAGAGGCAATGAAGTTACCGCCATTTCCCTCTGGTGGCACTTCATCCCTCCATTGAAGAAGACACTAGCCAGCAAAGCACGTTTAAAAATTCTTACATTTGGATTTGGTCTCTCTTTTCACATCATTGAGATGTTTCAAAGCGCCTCACAAAATTAACTGCAAAGTCAATTAAATCTGAAAGCCGACAACTTCTGCCTAGCAATAGGCTTATATCAAAACATTCGCATTGGGAAGAAGTCTCAAGGCATTTCAGAATCAACTTGGAGCCTGAGCTAGGGTTGGGGAGAGAAAGGGGTCAGAAAGCTCACCCGGAAAAGAAAGGCTTGAAGACTGGTTTTGAAAATGGGGAGAAAGTGACGGAAAGAGGGAGCTGAAATTCCACAGAGTGGGGCGTGCCAGTGAACTCAGTTAACAGCAAATTCCCCCTTGGGGGAAAGCCACGTCCTGCCCTTCCCAAGTGCTTACCACAATGGGTGGTTACATTTGTTATAGCAGTGTAAATGGCTCCCTGCAGTGTAAAAAGAACCTCAGGACCACATGGACACCTCCAAAGAAACTGCCGCATAATATCAATTTGCAAAAGTTCATCTCTGATGAGATTGTTGGTGTGGGTATAAATTAAGACATCACTCAATGAATTACAAACCACAGAGAGGATTAGGGCTGACAAATCTTTACACATACTGCCAGCATTCTCTTCCCAACTTCTGCATGGAGACTTTGAGCGTGTAGTTAAAATTGAAAATTGACATCATTAAGTGCCATGAACCACTTCAAAAGCAGTCGCACTTCAGCATAACATTTATACTGAAGTCATGGTCCATAGTGGTTTTAAGTTAAGTCCAAGTCTCAGCAATTTGATTCTATAAACCCATGAACAACAACGTGCATTTATATAGCGCCCTTTACGCAGATAGCGTCACGGAGTACTTCCCTGCGCAATCCCTTTCCATAGAGAATATGGCAACCAAAAAAGCATTTAATGAAGATAGTTCAGGTTTACTTACTGGCTCAATACATTCTTTGGAAAGTTCTGGTGAGGGAAATGCTGCAAATACCATTATTCCCACATACAGATAAGTGACCGCCACTAGGAGGTAAGCAATGGAGAGGTCCCGGACCTGAAATAAAAATGTTTTGGTGGTTTATTAAATGGACAATATAATAATTTTTGTTTTGCATTTGATACAGTGCCTTATCATGTCATTGAGATCTTTCAAAGCGCTTCACAGAATATATTGTAAAGTGGACTGACTGTGTATTTTGTTGACGAAACACGGCAGCCGTTGGTGCACAGCAGCCTCGTGCAGTCGTGGATTGAGTGACCACATTTTTTTGTATACCAAGATAATTTATTGTAGGGCCTTGAGCAACTAGTGTGTTTTCTTTTTAAAAAAAATCACAATATTCATGCCAGGAAGCTGACTCTAATTGCACAATTTGAAACCTACATGGATTCTGTCTGAACGTCTCTTCAAATCCTCTGAACACAGAAGTGTTTCTCTCCCCTACCCAACCTACTGTTTTCACTCTTTTCCTACTATTCGGCTGCCTTCATAGGTGCTGGGAACCCTCTGATAGAGACCCAACGCAATTATTCATATAACCCTGGCTCTCACCCCAACCAAGCTCATCCTCCAGAAGAGGGCTTTGCAGGACAGTGTTATACATTATAATCATCAGTAACATTACAAAACCACCTTTCACAGTCAGATCCTAAGATCTGTGACAGATGTTAACCACAGCTGAAAGGGAAGACTTATGAAGTCTACATGAATTCTGACAATACCTCTTCCCAAAAGCCGCTAAAACCCTGGTCCATGCCTTTGTCACCTCTCGGCTGGACTACTCTAACACCCTCCTCGCCGGTCTCCCATCCACTACCATCCATAAAATCCAAATCATTCAAAACTCTGCCGCCCGCATTCTCACCCGCACCAAACGCCTTCAGCCACTATGCCCCGAGGCTCTGGAACTTCCTTTCTCACTCCCTTCGTCTCACTCCCTCCCTTCCCATTTTCAGGTTTCTGCTGAAGACTTTTCTTTTCGACCGCGCCTTTGGTCACCTTTCCAGACCCCCACCCCGATCCCAGGATCCATTACTGTAAAGCGCTCTGAGACGCCGTCCGGCGTGGAGGGTGCTGTACAAATCCAAGTTATTGTTGTTGCTGACGAAGTTCTGACGAAGGGTCGTGGACCCGAAACGTTGACTCACTTTCCTTTCTCCATAGACGCTGCCTGACCTGCTGAGTTTTCCCAGCTCTCTCTTATGAAGTCTAGTTGGCCAAGAATTACACAAAATGAGAGCAGTTTCCTATTCAGTTTCCTTGCAGTTCATGAAAACCTTTGATCAAAGACCCACTCGTCAATTAGAGCTGCAACCGGGGGAATCAAATTGGTTAAAAGTTGGCTTTTTCCCTTATGAAGAATTACTCAGACAATGTATCATAAAAAAATCCTTCAAGGTCATGGTATCTTATTAATACATATTTATCAGTGAATTAAATCCAGATGAGGTAGAGCACCTAGTCAAAAAAACAATCTTGCAGTTAAGTTCAAGTGTTAATTTAATGACATTTATTATGATCTTTTATCCGTTCCCCAATTGCTCAGGAAGCCTGGAGTTAAAAATCAGTTGTGCTGCGAAGGTGTCCAACAAGAAGACGCTCGCTCAATTCAGTCTGCTGAGACAGCAGATTCAACACAAGGAAGAGGGAAAGTACACAATGGTTTCAGTGTTCCTGGACTAGGAAATGCTGGCGTTCTTTCCACATCAATATCCGGTAACAGCTAGTTCCCCGCTACCCCCTCACTCAAGAACATGCACAATGAACAATGATTGTTTTTATTGCATTATATCAATTTAAAGTTTTGCATTTTTGGTGCAGTTATGAAGAACAGATTGCTATTAAAGTCAATAATAAAAGCAATGCCCGCAGTGACTGGTCTCCCTTTCCAAGTCCTGCCGATGAGCCAGGCTGGTCGTGCTACCATCAGCAGTCCTTGGAATACTATGGACCCACCTGGTTCAGAAACTAGACAACTGTTTCACCCACAAAATATACAGTCAATTCACTTTACAGTATAATCTGTGACGCGCTTTGAGATAGCATAAGCCGCTCTATCAAATTCAAGGATTTTTATTATTATCCAAGACTGTTTCAAAGGGTTGGCTCGGTGTGACATTCCATTGCCAAACATGTCAACTTGGAGCCATATCAGCTCCAAAGAGGCCCCACTTACCTCCCCCAGGAGGATAGTCACTAGTTGTTCATTCGATATCGATATCATTCGATATGGGTTTGAGCCCTCACTAGGTGGATAGTAGGTACCAGGAAATACGTATGAGCTTCCTGGTGGGCAACCAACACAGTTCAGTATGAAATGCGTGAGAGCATTGCCACCATCTTCCTGTCCCCAGCACAGAAACACATCCCTTCCCATCGAGCAATGAAAAGACACTGCTTAGAACACAGAACCATGAAGACTATTCAGAAAGATTTTTGCAAAACGAAGTTCAGTGTAGGAATGTACATGGGAGAGAAGGGAATAGAGTGCATGTTCTGCCACCTTGTGGCAATCTTGTAACATTGCAGCCAAAACCTTGTAAGAAGAGTTTGACATTTCCACATTTGACAATGATAATCCTTGCATTTGGTATAGGCCTGATCACGTCAGAAGTATGTCTCAAAGTACTTCGCAGGATTTACTATGAAGTGCAGTGACTGTGCATTTGTAGGCAAATGAAGGAGCACAATTGTGATCTGAATAACCTGCAGAGTTTCAGGTTTCAAAACCACTTCACACTACTGATCTTGGGTTTGACTTCCCCTTTCTCCTCCACTAAATAAAACTTTGTATGGATTCTTAAGTACCTAAAGTAGTTTTGAAAACCTATCATTGTCAGAGCACTTAACCCAAGATTATGAAACAATTCTCTGGACTCTTGCAATATCAAATACAAGGATTATTCTTATATTTTAATCGGGCAAACAGGACCACTGACTCACGTGGAGTAAAAACACCAGCAGAGACCAGTTGAGTTGAACGCCCTGTTTCTATGCTGTATCACTCTAACTAACAAGTCTTTGGAATTTTCAACTTTACAAAGCTGTTAACCATGTTACAAAAAAAAGGGAAATGGAAAGAAAAAGAGTGGACAACAGAAGGAGTGGTCACCCTAACGCAAAACAGGAGCAATGGATTCCCTGCCCTCTTGGTGGTAAATTATGGAAGGAACTAAAATGTACTTGGTTAGATAAGCTTAAACCCTAGCAGAGCTAAGTAAAATGAAGACCTAATCTCAATACCATTATACCACAAGTCCCCAAGTAGCAGATCATTCTTACCAGCGGTGTAACTTACATTATTCTTCTGATCTTGGTTGTTTTTCAGTAGTGTGATGACTGAGTTGTGGAAGAAGAAAGCCAGAGTGAGCACTCCGGTGAGCTGTGGAAAGGATAACCTGAACTCTGGCAAAAAAAAAAGGAAAGAAAAAACAATTACTGGCAGAGAAAAAGCACGATTGAAAGATCTGCCACGTTCTAATAAAATGGCAGAGGATGCTTGGCCATTCTACTCTGATTCTCAATTTCTTAGTTCCATCACTAGCAGCCACTGAGATTTCATGTACCAGAAGAGTTCTCTGAACTCTGTTCTTCATTTAATGTGCAACTTGTAAATCAATTTTAAAAATTGTAATTATTTCCTCACCTAAATTGGTATTTCCAGTGCAATTAGCTACCGAGTTCACTTACATAATATTCACTTCATTTCATCCTGTAAACTCCTTCCCTCTAGCCCTTGCATGTAAAAGTTCACAAGTAAACAATGACCTTGTGGGCAAAGAGAGCAGGATAACAATGGAAATGTAACCCATTATTACAAGCAAAAAGAAGGCTAAAACACTCCAGAAACGCGAGTACGAAATGTATATCAAGTAAGACATTTAAGAGGAAAAAAAGTTCTAGGATGTTGACTAGCAATTCTTAACATTGGCTGTTGGAATCACCAAATAAAGCTGAACTATTTAGGAGTCCTTTTCACACAAGCAGTTAAAAAACAGCCATTCCACCATGAGTTCACGCCTCAATTCACTGTTGAGTCAGTTTGGTCCATTCTAAATTCCCATTATTTTAATTGAATCCATATTTTTCAATGCAGTTTCATACCCCTCAACTTGCTGCTGAATGTGAGCTTTGCTTATTTTTTTTAGAAAAATTAAAGACCATTTGTTTTAACCATGTCCACATTCATTTTGCTGATAAGTTGAGCAGTTACCTTGTCATTACTTTTAGCTTATTTCTTTAACCTCTAATTATATCCTCTGGGTCACAATTCCTCCACATCACCAATTAAATTGTTTATAAGCAATTCTTGGCATTAGCTCATCGAATTAAGGGGAGATTTCTTCTTCCCTCTCATTCCCCCTCCTATTTTATATGGATACAATTTGTCATCATATCAAGATCTCAAATTGTAGAACTCCAGAGACATTAACAACTAGTTAGTCGATAACTCTGATAATGTTAGCTATTAGGTTAGGTGGAAAATAGAAAGTTTCATCTCAGTCAGATGTAGAATGAACGACCCTCTAGCCAACTTAAAGAATATCAAACCCTGTTGCACTGGACTTTTTCTGCTCCAGAAACTAGCCAGCCTTAGAAACCCGTGTATGCGCAGGATTGGACTTGAGACAATCAGTATTTACAGCTAGTGTACAACTGACCTAGTCTGTGCCATTTCAAACTCAGTGGGATAAACACAATTTTAAATATAGTAGGTTTGAACACATGCATTATATGCTCTGCAGTTTATACAGGACATTTATTTTTGAGTTGTTCTGCGCTACGGATTTTGCATTTTAAGATAAATATAATAGATTCCGTAAAGCTTTGTATCATTGTGTATCCAATTTACATTTTCTGAATGCACTTCGAACACTCTGTAGTTCAGTTTAATCCACACCAAATAAAGCAATTATGTGAAAATACAACATAGAATGGCTGTGAAGCTTACCCGCTACAAAATTGTTCACAGATTCAAACCAGTGGAATTCCAAGTGAAAACCTGACCGCACTGCCTTCAGGGTTACCAGTACAATCAAGTAAATGACTGAAATAGTACCTGTAAAATCAGAATACAATCAATAAACACCATACAAATAAAACCATCACCACTCAAACTTGTCTGCAATGAGACTTCAGTGAAGTATCTCTCAGGCAAAGTTTATGCAACAAAAAAATCCCAAATTAAAGTTATTAGGTTTAGCTAGAGGAGCTAGCATTCCAATAAGTTCAATATCTGAAATGCCTACTCGTAGAATTAGTTTATTACGCAGGAGGCAGCCATTCGGTACATAAGACAGCACTCTCTCAGAGCAAGCTGTCATTCAATCCCACTGCCCCACACTATCTCTATAACCATTCACTCCTATGCTATAATTTCAATTCAAATCGAAAAGGATCAGGGATTTTTTTTCTTGATCAATACGGTCATATGTCTAACAAATGGAGAATTCCATCAGCATGATTCAAATGAGCTTCATTTTAGCTGGTTAAACTCCAGCAATACCCCAATAGCATACGCGAGGGTCACCTAATACTCTCTGGGATTAGGTAAGCAGGGTGCATACCTTCAGGCAGGGCATGGTCATTCCTTTCCAGGTAGGGAAGTTTCCATGTGTATGTGGTGTACATATGTGGAACTCGTCTGGTTTGATACTCTTAAGCATTGATTTAATTAATTCTAACATTTTATTGCCAAGCACATCATGGTGGAGGCAGCTAAGCTCCAAGGAGACCCTACTTACCTCCTCCTAGAAGAATTGATTAAGGATTCATGCTGTGGAGTTCTGATCAGCTAGATCACGTTTTCAATCTATCTGGATTTCACATTACTTTGGTGTTTCTCGCATTGGTTCGCTTGTTTATTTTCTTTTTCTCAGATTAATTTAAGCTCACCTAGGTTGTTGAACCGTGCAAAGAAGGAAGCAGACTTGAAGTTGAGGAGAGACAACAAAGGGACGATCAGATAAAGGGGGACAGTGTTGGTCTTGTTCCACCACTCCTGAAACGTGTGCAGGCTGGTATCATTGCCCGTAAGGAAGGATATGTGAGTGTGGTTCTTCAAGTGAACCCCTGGTGGGTTTGGACAAATAACTGGAACAAAATAAAAATGTCCTTTAACATTTAAATCCAATAAAAATAATAATCCTTGCATTTGATATAGCGCCTTATCCCATCTTGTAGACATCTGAAAGCGTTTCACAGGATATATTGTAAAGTGAATTGACTGTATATTTTATGAGTGAAACCCGGCAGCTAACTACGTACAACAGTATCCCACAAACAATCATGGATTGAGTGACCAATTTATTATTATTTTTTTAAGAAATTATTACCCCCAGAAAAGCGATCCGCCAATCAACTTACAACTGGGTTCCTATTTACTGCTAGGTAAACAGAGGTGTGTGGAGTAAGGATACTTGTCCAATGTTTCGCCCTGCCAGGAATCGAACCCAGGTCTCTCACTTGCGAGGCGAGTGCTCTAACCACTGAGCTACAGGACTCCAATTGTATTAATACACAAAATGAAAACAATAAAACTAAATACACATAAATACAAGCTCAGAAAATACTCCAACCAGCATTTTTATAATGGACAGAAACAATCTACATGCTGTAATTCAGTTAAGCTTTCCTGCCATGAAGTGGTTGATGTGCACCATATGTCAAGGGACTAAGATTGCTTAATAATCCACTGTGGCGTTCCCGCTTAATAAAAACATTATGTCTCCTTATTTGAATTACACATTAAAATTAATAATAATAAACACATGTGATATTGTAATGTTACCATCTCTTTATCTCATTCTTAAAGTACCTCATGTTCTACCAGTCCAGATTCCACTTCACTAATGCTAGAAATTACCTCTTTAAAAAAGGCTGGCAACATGGGGGGAGGGGGGGCTGTTGAGATACAAAACATAAAAACAGTGTCAACAGACAATGTAAACATGTAGTTTTTTTGGGGGGTGGTGAGGGGAGAAAGAAAAACGAAGGCATCACAATTGATCGTGTCCAAAGTTAACACGTCAGAAGATGTCCCGGCAATGGCTAAAAATTATGTCCCTGAATGTGCTTTGAGACATTTTCCCAATGTGAAAGGTACTATGCAAATATGCTTTGTATTGTATGATAATATGGAATTGGAACTGGAAGCTTGGCTGAATTTTCCACTATTTCTCTTCCCCCCACCACCCCCCTCCCTCCATCTGCAGTTTGCTAACTCAAACAAAGAGTCTTTAAAACACTGATCTGTATGATGTAATACTGGACTGAAGTGGAGATTTTATCTGCAAAACAACAGCAAGTTTTTACTTTGCTTTCTCCACCAGTTTAAAAAAAAAGTTCTGGGCAAAATGTCTAATCAACTTTTAGGCCAAACATGTTCAAACCATAGGTATTACAGTACAACTGGGCATTGCAAAAGCTTCACCATCCATTTCTTTTTAAACTGCATTATATATTCTTCAAACTTGCACAACACAGAAAATTAAGAAGCTGGCACTCAACTAGAAATTTTCCACCATGAGACAAAAACAAACAAATGGACACTGTGTTCCATTTCATGGCAGGAGCTCTGCTATTGTTAAACCCTTTACCTCCAGAATCCCTTGCCATAATCTCTCTGCCTTTTCCTCTTCTTTGCCAGTCTTCAGATCGCATTGGAAGACTTTAATCTTTGACTTCCCCTGCTGCCTTCCTTTTCTCCCTGGCTCAGCATCAAACTACGTCACTGTTCAGCACCCAAAGACACTATCTCGCATAAAGAAACAGCAATACAAATGCAAATTTATGTTGCTTTACTCTGTAGGCTATTTTAAAATAAAACATACCTTTCAAACTTCCATTTGTGCTTAAAACATGGTTAATTTCTGTGATATTATGAATGTAATCTGCAAAATAAAAGGAAAAGTCACTTCAGGCAAACCTAAAATGCCAACACAAAGATTAGGAACACCTTCAATTTCTGCCTCACTAATTCAGCCTTCAAAGACATTTTTGAAGCATTGATCTTAAGAGTCACGGCAGATGCAAGTTACTAGAAAGATTTTAAACATTGTGGTTGGCATTTTCATATGCATTTTAAAATTAAATGAAATCCAGTGTTTATTTTGTTAATCTTTACTAATCCTAAAACGTTAGCCACAACAATTGGAAAAACAGTCAAAGATTTTACATTTGATTGTATAGATCAAATGAATTCAGATAAGGATTTGATTATATTCATATTTTGTATCCAAGTGAATGGTAGGATTTGGTAAGTGGAAAATGCTGACATATAGATGGATAAAGCTTTACCGCTTGTAGAAAATGTTGCTTAATTTTGATACTGTACTTACTATACAGAAATTTGCCGGTGTTGAAAAGGAAATTCGACATTAGGACCCAATACACAACCATTGCTCCGATCAGAGAAATCATGGAGAAAAGGAGACTGGACCACTGACCAAATGAGCCAAAATAGTATTTGCAGACATCAATGAATTCCCAGCTAGATGTATCTACAAAATCTTAAGGCAGATAAACAAAAAAATGTACATCAGAAAACTACAGCAGAACAAAGTAAGGGCTCCACAAACAAAGTGTTTTAATAATTCAATTTTAAAGACACAATGACTAAACCAACATTGACAGGAACTGAGATAAAGCAACATATCTCCATGGATTAATAATTGTGGTTTGTAACTACAATATTCACCACAAAGTTTCCTGCCAACTCTTGCTGGGTTAGTATACCAAGAATGACGGAAACTCTGTTTTGGTTAGTTTCAACAATAAATACAAATAATCCGGAAGCATCATAGGGTCAAAAATATATTGTACCAAGGTGCTCCACAATCACTGAATCATATTAAGTTCAGCAGGGAGCAAACACTGTTAAATCTGCAGAGTGTGTCAGTTTCACATTCAAAAGATTCCTCTTTGCCCGAAGGAAAGTTGCAGGCAGGGAGGAAACTATATAGAAATGAAGATATTTTAAAAAAAGCTCATTTTAAATGAGGCTTAAAAATCCTTCCATTCTTGGACAATGCATTTTTATATTCTACTATTTCATACAAAGAAAATTGCAACTGAAAAGCTTGGCCACTTCTGAAATAGTTTTCAGTGGGCAAATTGAAAGCATACATACGATTCCACTATTTTTAACAAAATCTATTTTAGGAACATTCAGTGCTTAAATTCAACCACATTTAACACTAGTTTCTTAATATTGGGTCCTTTGAAATAATTTAAGTACCAAATTACTTTAAGACGCCAAAATACTTATTTCAGAAATATTAGATTAGTTTGAACCCCAGTTTCATAAATACAGCTAAATATCAAACGTGCCAAGCAAAATAGTTCTAATGAAAGCAAGTAATGAAAATCTGCACAAGTTTAGTCCCCACCCCCACTGGAAGCATTCAGTTCTAGTCAGAATATCTAACAATTGCAAAATTAAAGTACATACTTATGGTGTTCCGAGATTTCACCACTCGATAACAACAGTACAGCAACAGGAGGCCCATTAGAATGATTAAGATTATTCCCAAGGTAAATCCTGCCTAGTTTAGGAAAAGAAAAAGAATGTTCAAGAAATGCAAGGTTCCAATGCAACAACTAATAAAAATAGTAAACTCTTAGGACCGCTAATGATTACAAATATAAATGCGGGTTAAACCTACTTAGGTGTTACAATGCAAAAAAAATTAATTACCTGCTTCATTGCCCACGGAATACTTAATATGGATGTCCCCATCATTGTATTCCAAATAGCAAATCTACAAAGGAATAATTTGATTAATGCCCTCGGGTCAGTACAAATATTACAAAGTGGATGCAAAGTGCAATTCCGAAATATATGCAGAAGATTCAAAATGCACACGTACATAGTAACCATGCTGGAATTTGTTCCAACGCCATCGAGACTGCTTTCAAGCTGCATTGCTCTTCCAAGTGGACTGTAAACATAGATTTCCTCGGAAGGTGGAATTACATGTTTGGGTGGCATCTACAGTTTNAAAAAAATACACTTTTAATCTCTGTACTCAAATTTCTATGATACTGCCCTATAAAATAATTTAAGTTCACACCACTTGAATTTTTTAATTAGCTATACATTAAGTATTGTCTGGTTACACCTCACTTCTAGGAATGTTGTAAAGAACACAAAATTTAGAGACATGAAAATGCATTAACACCTGGACAATGAACCCATTCACTGAGCACGAACATGCACATGTCTTAGAAAGTTTTAACCCAGAAAGTTTACTAAACTAACACACTGAAATGATCCAATTTATTTTAAAATAATTTCTTGTCTTCTTTCTCTAACATTTCATGTTAATTGTACCAAACAAGGCATTATTGTATGAACTACAGTATTACTATATGGAAAGATAATACCACAATCTCCACATTCATGTGTCATGTGGATGACACCCAACTCTACTTTGTTGCCTCCACCCTCGACTCGCGTCCCCCGCCTTCCCCAGCCCTGGCAGGCAGGCCTTCAGTCTCTCCGTCCTTCAGCCTTGTCCCCTCCCTTGCCTCCTTCAAGACCCATGTGAAGACCCTCCTCTTTGACCATGCCTTCAGTCAACCTCCCCGCCCTCCAGATCCCAACCACCAGCTCCGGTACGGATCCCTGACTGTCCAGCGCCTTGGAACTATTGTATGATTATCACTGATTATCATTGAGGCTCCATGTCCCTCATTCTCTTTGCTATTGTTGAGCGATCCTTCAACTATTCTGTCCCTCACTTTCTGGAACTCCATCCCTCCAACTCCTTCCTCTTCGTCCTTTCTCTCTCTTCAAACCCCATCTCTTCAACCAACCATCTCACTCTCAACCCTCCCCCACCTGGCTCAGTCATTGCGTCAAGGGCTTTGAGACTTCCTCCTGAGATGAAAGAAGCTTCATAAATGTTAATTAATTTTAGGGAAAGCAAGAATAATCTGCACAGAAGTGGTCAGTCACAGTTTAAGCCCTTGATTATTAAGGGTATGGATTGAATAGATGCGTTAAGGCAGATGCAGGTTGCAATATTCCCTCTCCAGTCTGATAGCCTGTAGACACATGAGAAATGTCTATTTGGTGTACCAGTGGGCTCCCATTACCAACAACAACAACAAATTACATTTGTATCGTACCTTTCACGTCCCAATGAGCTGAACTGAATTACCAATTGAAACATCTACCCTAGCAAAAGGAAACAAAAAAGTTTCAGCAATGGCTTCCCTACCAAGGTCTGGTCTGTGGAGGTCAGCCTGTTGTAGTACTGAATGCGGCTGTTCATTGCTGATGCTTTGGGGGTCACCCTCTCTTGGGGGTCTGTGGCCCCATGGAGATCTCTGGGTGGCACGTGGAAAGGTCTATAAAGAAAATGTAATATTAGAATTCTGTTGGAAGAAATAAGATAACTACCACAACCAATAAGACTCCACACGCCGGATAATAATCCATCAAGATAAAAAACAATAATAAATTGTTCACTTCAATCCACGACTGTTTGTGGGACACTGCTGTGCGCAATTGGCTGCCGCATTTCATCCACAAATATACAGTCAATTCACTTTACAGTCTATTCTGTGAAGCGCTTTGAGACGTTAGGATGGAAAAAGCGCTATATTAAATGCAAGGATTATTATTATTATTTATATTTATTATTATAAGAGTATTCCCCACATATGTGCTCATTTCAGCACAGCGTACTTTGGTTGATGCAATGAATACTAACAATGCTTGGGCAGAAATTTGGTATCCTCCAGTGTTAAAAGATGAATCTGACTTTTTCCAGACCTGACCACTGTTTCCAATTGGCTGCTTGTCCAACAATACTGACAATAGCTTCAATCAATCATTTATCATAAAGGGTTAAAGAGAGGGAAGAAAAGGATTGCAACTTCATCCCTTGAAGCTGGGGATCACCTCCTTGCCCTCAAAACTAGAACAATTCCATTCAAATATATTTATACTATATAATTGTGATCCTTTGATGATTGGTGCAACAAACTCAACAGTTTGAACAAGCTCATTTTGATTTAATGTCACTCATGTCAATGAAGGCAAACTGGAAAAAGTAACATTAAAGATAACTGCAAAAATATAAAACCTAACCAATTGAAGCTGTTGATTTGGTAGTCTTCTATTTATCAGAATGTGAACAATGTTAGATAACCCCTGATCGAGTCAAACGTTCTACAGTGTTTTTCTATATTAAAAATAAATTATTAAGCAACAAACAGTTCCTTAAAATCTTACTTTCTTGAATTGAATCCTAGGTTCTCAGTTTTGTGGTTTTCTTCAGAAGTCAGCAAAGACCGCATGTCATCCTCCATGTTTGATGTTTCTATTAAAAAAATTAGGATTTTTCTTTCTGGCTTCCAATGCTATTCTTTGAGCAGTCTAAATGAAGTCCTGTGTTTCCTTGACAGAAATCTGCATAAAGCACAAAAATGCAATATAGTCAATGAGAATATTTTTAAGCAATAACAAAATACCGAAAAAAAGGGGAAAAAAAAATCCGAAACGCAAACAGCATTTGGATTCTGACCAAAATACTGCAGATTTTGAGAAACTGACCACCTATTGTTCTAAAGTTAGTGTGTGAGATAAGTCTGTTTCCAATCGGGACCATCTTTCAGGCTCACTTTAAAGGTTAATCCCCAACCATATGGGGAATTGGCATTGTGGTATTTTGCAGCATGTGACCATGAGCAACAACCTCCCAGGTTCAATCTATCAGCGCCTTGGAACGTCCTCCTGATGTGAAAGGCACTATACAAATGTAATTTGTTGCTGCTGCTGTTGTAGTAATATGCTCGTATCAGCTATAATGAGCGAGAACTATTATGGGCTCAGAATTTTTTTTGTTAGAAGTCCCAAGTTGTCAATGAGTGCTGGTGGCCTTCTGATACCTCAGACATGTAGCGATTGTTGTATAATAATAATAATATAATTGTTGTATGTACTGTTTAGGATGGTAGACAAATTGATCAGGAGTGGGGGCATTACAGTAGAGTCTAATCCTGGACCAGACCCGTCCTTCAAATATTACTGAGAGTATCTTGTCAAAAATAAGCAGGCGAGTCCTCAAACCCAGCATTGGCACGTTCTATAAATCATTCTAAAGAGCTCATCAGAAAGACTCTGAATTGTACTGTGAACCATCTGAGCCACTATCTGATGTTTTCACAATGCTGCCAGTTTAGTTGTTTATAGAATGTAGCAAAATACGACAACAACTAACTTGCATTTATATAGTATCCTTCATAAAGAGCAACATCTCAGTACAAGACACTGAGCAAGGAGGATTGGGGGGAGGTGGGGGTGACCATAGACATGGTTGAAAAGATAGATGAAGGTGGCTTTTGAAGACCGATAAGAGACGCGGAGAGGTGGATGAGTTGAAGGGCGTTACGGGGAGTGAGTCATAGAGGCTCAACTACCAGTGGCAGGGAGGAGCATGTAGATAGCGTGTAGGGCGAGCATAATAATTTAGCTGTAAAACGTCTGAGGTAGAGAGGTGAGAGCACGAGTCAAGGAAGAACGCAGGTGATGTGGCCAATTATTTTCCTCTGCCACATTCTTGCACTGTACTGAGCAGGATGGTAGACAAATTGTGTTAAAACACATTTGCAATATATCCCGTGAAGCACTTTAAGACATCTCAATGACATGTTAAGACACTGAATCAAATTATTATTAAGTACAATACCCAACTCTCAGCAACGTCTGTTAGACATTTTCAATGATAATACAAATTTACATTTATATAGCGCCTTTCATTTCGACTGGATATCCCAAAGAGCCTGACTTGGCATCCGAACTGATGGGATGAGGAGGGGAAAGGTGACGGAAGGCAAGTCAAACAAGAAGCTCTTGAGACGGGCTTTGATCAAGGATAGGGAGGGTGAGAGTCAGTGAAGAATGACAGCACGATCAAGAATGTCAAAGGCGGCAATGAGATCAAAAACGAACAAGTGCGAGAAAACCCCAGTGACTAATGGGACGTCCTCACGACGTGAAAGGCCCTCTATAAATTTAATTTTGTTGTTGTTGGAGATAATATCATTGGTGACTTTAACAGGAGCTGTCTCCGTATTGTGGGCTGAGGTTTTCTTGCCTTAACAAAAGTAGACAATTTTGGAGTTAAGTAGGGTATAACTACGGCTTCTGATTTTCAGTTTTAACTGATAAAACGCCCTGATACAAAAAACAGGAAATTAGTGTTTATCCGCTAAACCCTGGAAAAACACCAAGGATAGTTTTCTGTGCTAAGTGAGGTTTGCTCTCTCGCTCATTCCCAGGGCCCCGGCTTGACAACTGTGCCTTACTCTCGCTCTCTGCCTCACCTCCTTCGTGTGCGCAGGCATGTCTGGTGAAGTGTGAGAGGAGTGAGACACTGAATGCGCGCAAGGGTACCCCTCTCCCCGTGTGCGCCTGAATTTTCTCTTTACGGTAAGCAAAAAAAACCCGAAACCCCCTGATTTTCGGGCACGTACATAGAACTGTAAAATTGCTGAAAATAAATCCCGAAAAATGAAATTAGCACCGAAAAAACGAAGCCCACAGGTGCATCAAGAAGCTGTTCGCCGAACATTCGCATTACACTAGTCTGCCTTACATCAATATTTTGTTTCCAGTAGCTAATGAGTAACGATATTTCTGGTGTGGCCTTCAATCAAGAAATATTCAATCAAAGATAATAATAATCCTTGCATTTGATACAGCGCTTTATTGCGTCTTCCAGACGTCTGAAAGCGCTTCCCAGAATATACTGTAAAGTGAATTGACTGTATAGTTTGGGGGCAAAACGCGGCGGCACAGCAGAGTCCCACAAACAGTCGCGGATTGAGTGGCCGGATTATTTTTTTATCTATGGGATTATTACCTCCGGAAAAATAATCCTATTTACTTATTGCTGGTTAAACAGAGGCTTGTGGAGGAAAGAAACATATGCCCAACGTTTCTTCCTGCCCAGGAAATCAGTGGGGTGAGGGGGGTGGGGGGTTGGTGCTGTACTCCATTGCTGCTTGATGTGGAAGTGCAATAGTCTGGCCAAGTGATTCCACTTCTCCAATTGATTCACGGATGACCACTCAGAGAGAGAGAGAGGGACTGGAGGAACGACGCCGAGGAACAAGGCACTTGGCTCAGGAAGTGGCAATGTCATAACATCGTTCACATGGGAAAATGTCTGCGGGGCAAGTGTCGCAACCCGGGCACCTGGGTCTCCTCCCCTCCCCCACCAAAAAAAACACACATATCAATGGGGAACAACGAATTAAGGAAACGAAAGGATTTGTTGCAGTGCAGTGCTGCAGTGCAGCGCAGCGCAGGGCAGCGCGAGCGCCTTACCTGGAGCGCGAGCTCCCGGGACCCTAACATTCCATCCGCCTCCACAACAACCAGAGCGCGCGCGCACACACACACACACCGCCGGGCTCCACCGGCTCCTTGCGGTGCGCACGCGCGGACTCGCCCCCCCCCTCCCCCCCACCCCGCTGCCCTCTGGGAGCTGTAGTCTCCGCCCCGTCGCCTCTTCACGTCAGAGCCACTACAGCGCCTCAGACTCGCTCTGCGGCACTGCCCCTCCCCCACCGACCCACCCACCCACCCACCGGCTCACCATCAGCTGAGCGCTCTGCGGCTACTATGAATCCGCGGGGGTGGGGGGGGGGGGGGGGTTTGGTTGCAATGCGAAGCCGCCTCCGCTCTGCCGAGTCGCTGCTACTGCACAAGGCTTTTTACAAACAGTCACCAGCAACAGTCCCCCCACTCACAAAATATATGTCTCCATCAGAAGCAATGCCCAGGGTACGGGAAAGAGCCCCCCACCCCCCCCACTCCCTCCCTCACGTGCAACCTGACCACTTGCCACTCACAGCACTCCTGTCTTTCTGTTGCTGTCGGATAACAATAGCAATAATAATAATAATAATCTTTGCATTTGATACGGTGCCGTTGGTGTGTGGTTTTTTTTTGAAAGCATCAGCCGAGCGCTTTGCGGCTACAGCGAATCGCGGACTCGGCGATTCCCATCGGGGTTTGGTTACCATCTGAGCCTGTTCTGTTCTGCTCTGCTCTGCGAGCGCTCACCTGCTCCGCTCACGATCCCGTTCGCCCATAAATATACAGTCAATTCACTTGACAGTATATTCTGTGAAGCGCTTTGAGACGTCTCGCCAGCAAGCCAGCGGGCGGCAGGGCCTCGAAAACCCATGTAAACCGAGCGGGGGGTAAGTCAGGCAGTGGCACGGAGTCATAGGACTGGTCTCCCAGGGATCAAGACCAGCGTTAGCCAGTGGGGGGCCGGGGTCCCGGGACCAGCGTTAGCCAGTGGGGGGCCGGGGTCCCAGGGATCAAGACCAGCGTTAGCCAGTGGGGGGCCGGGGTCCCGGGACCAGCGTTAGCCAGTGGGGGGGCCGGGGTCCCAGGGATCAAGACTAGCGTTAGCCAGTGGGGGGCCGGGGTCCCGGGACCAGCGTTAGCCAGTGGGGGGCCGGGGTCCCAGGGATCAAGACTAGCGTTAGCCAGTTGGGGGCCGGGGTCCCGGGGATCGGGACCAGCGTTAGCCAGTGGGGTGCAGGGATCGGGACTGGAGGCACCCGGAGCGGGGGCTGGGGTCCGGCAACAGCTAGTGGGGGGGCCGGTGTCTCGGGGATCAGGACCGGCGTTAGCCAGAGGCAGGGACCAGTAGCTGTAGACTGGGCCGGGGTCTCGTGGACCCTGAGGTGGGGCCGGGGTCTCGGGGATTGAGCGATGGCCATTACCTGGCCAGGGGGAGCCGCCATTGTGGACTTCCAGATTTTCCTGCCATTCTGTGTGACGTCACTTCTGCCCGTCAGGTTTGAATCCCTGGCAGCAGGTATAGTATAGTTCATACCAGTGTCTCCCTCCCTCCCATCCTCTGTCTGACTGTCTCCCCTGTCGTTCCCCTGTAGGCTGCTCACTGCTAACCACAATGAGCGCCCTCTGCGCCACTTCTAGCCCCCACAGCCTCCTGCAGGCTGGCAATGTCCCACTAACCCGCTGCCTCTCGTCACAGCGAGCGCATCTTGGCTGCCACCCCCGACCCGAGTTGGCCCTCCCTCAAAATGCCCCCTTCACTGCAACTCTCCCGCTCTGTCCTCCTCTCTCTCCGCCCTCCCCGCCTCCAATCTCTGCTTGACCCCCCCCTCCACCCCCACTGCTTCCCTCTGCTCCAGCCTGGGAATCGTCTGCTGGGCTCATCATGGCACTCAGCGTTGGCTGTCCAGCAGCAGCCACACCGACTGCCCCATTCCCCACTACCATCGCAAGCCACCCCGGGCCCAGACCCCAGGGGCTAACCTCTCCTCCTTCATCCGCATCCCCACCCTCCCTGCCAACCAATCCACTCACCCCTCCCACCCCACACATCCCCCTGCCAACTGTCCACTCCGCATTGGCCTTCAAAACGTCTGCTCTATCTGCAATAAGACCCTGGCCATCAATGAACTCATCCTCGATGAGAACATTGACATTATGGCCCTCACTGAAACCTGGATCACCCCAGGTGACACCTTCCCCTTCACTGAGGCCACCCGGCTACACCTACCACTTGGCTACACCTACCACCATGCCCCACGCCCCAACTGGTGTGGCGGTGGTGTGGTCTTCATATCCAGGACATCACTTGCCCTATCCCCCTACTCAACCAGCTCATTCCCCTCTTTTGAACACCTTATCCTCTGCCATCCCTCCCACCTCTCTCTCTAAAAATCCTAATTTACCACCCTCCAAAATCCTCCCCCACCTTCATCTCTGACATCTCCACCCTCCTAGCTTCCCTCTGCCTCTGCTCCGATCGCCTCATCATCCTAGGCGACTTCAACCTCCACTTCACCCTCTCCTGCTCCACCTCCTCAGAGTTCTCCTCTCCTCTCTCAACCTCTCCCTCCACATTTACTCTGTCACCTGTTACCCACTGTCACCTGCTCGACCTGATGATCACCTCGGGCTTCAGCGACTCGGATGTCACCATCACTGACAAGGTCATCTCTGACCACCATTTCATCTTCCTGAACTTCCATATCCCTCTCCCCACTGCCTCCAAATCTACCACCATCTTCTACCGCCTGTGGAAGAATATCTTCCCACAGTCCCTCTCCGCTGCCCTGGAGTCCTCTGAACTCCTCCCACTTTGGCCCACCTCTCGCACCAACCCACTCGCTGCATTTACTCTTCTCCACAGCACCCTCTCCATCACACTCGGCGCCCTTGCCCCCTTCATCTCCTAAACTGCCTCCTATTCCCGATCCTCACCCTGATTCACCAGCCACCTTTGCTCGCTTAAGGGCCAGGTGTAGGCTGCAGAACGCACTTGGCTCAAATCTGGCCTAACGGTCCACCGCTACATAATAATAATAATCCTTGCATTTGATATAGCGCTTTTCACGTCGGGAGGACGTCCCAAAGTGTTTCACCAAATATACTGCAAAGTGAATTGACTGTATATTTGTGGGCGAACGCGGCAGCCAATTGCGCACAGCAATGTCCCACAAACAGTCGTAGATTGAAAATGACCAATTTATTATTGTTTTTGGTTTTTGGAGGGATTATTATTAGGCGTGTGGAGTAAGGAAACTTGCCCAAGGTTTCGCCCTGCCTGGAATTGAACCCAGGTGTCTCACTTGCAAGGCGAGTGCTCTAACCACTGAGCTACCGGACTCCATGATGAGGGGACTCCCACATCTGGCTGAACCTCATCAAAACCTACCGCTCTCGCCTCAGCCAAATCTTCCTTCTATTCCAGGTTAATCCTGGAGGCGAAGGGCAACCCCAGGCTCCTGTTCTCAACCACCAACCAACCTGCTCCTCCGCCCTCCCTGCTAAGCCTTGCAGATTCTTTCCTCTGACTCTTACTGCGAGAAAATGCTGGACTTCCTCGAGTCCAAAATTGAAGGAATCCATTCAGCTGCCACCGGCCCCCCAACTTCTACCCCCTCCTATCCCCACCCCACACTCCGACAATTATCCATCCCTCCTTCCACACCTTTGAACCTGTCAACCCCTCCTCTGTCTTCACCACCATATCCTCCATGAAGCCCACCATCTGCTCCCTGGACCCCATCCCTCTCCTTCAATCCCAGCTCCACCTCCTTGCTTCACCACTCACCGACATCATCAACCTCTCCCTGTCATCTTGCACTGTTCCTACCCCCCCTCAAAACAGCCACTGTCAACCCCACCTTGAAGAAACCTTCCCTTGACCCATCACAGCTAATTCAGCCACCACCCCTTCTCAAACCTTGCTTTCCTATCCAAAGTCCTTGAGAGAGCCATTGCCTCCCAGCTTTGCTCTTCCCTCTCCTTCCACTCCCTCCATGAACCCCTCCAATCAAGTTCCCATGCTGCCCACAGCACCAAAACTGCTCTGGTCAAGATCACAGGTGACACCCTGACCATGTGAGACAAGAGTTCCCTCTGCCTCCTCAACTTCTCTGCTTCCTTTGACACCGTGGCACTATATCAAATGCAAGGATTATTATTATTATTAAATCATATTTGATATGCTGCGAGATACATGGTCTATTGGGGAAGCTGTGTTATTGTCCTGACAAATGTAACCACCACACCAGCTATTAATAAAATGATAAATACATAAATAAAAATAAAACGTGTTTCCACCATTGTTTACTCCAGTTTAAAGATAGCTAAACAGGATAAGGCAGAGGAATTTCTACTAGTGTTTCTCCCATAATAATAATAATAAAAAATCGGTCACTTCAATCCCCAATTGTGCATGGGACACTGCTGTGCGCAATTGGCTGCCGCTTTTCACCCCCAAAATATAGTGAATTCACTTTACAGTATGTTCTGTGAAGCGTTTTGAGACGTCTCAAACATGTGATAAGGCGCTACCTCAAATGCAAAGATTATTACTATTATTATTTACTGTATGGGGGTGTAAGCCTGGCTTGGTTTGTAGCAGGTTGTCTTGGGGAATTTTAAGCTTATTGTCTGGGCTGATTAATTACAGTGCTGAGGGTGCACTGCATTGTTAGGATGAGACGTTGAGCCAAGATCCCGTCCGCCTGTTCAGGTGGATGTTAAAGATCTCGTGGCATGATTCAAAAAGAGAAGGGAGTTTCCTCCAAGTCTCATGGCCAGTAATTCCCTGAATGAAATTGGAAGTTTCACTGTCTGGAACTGCAGCCTCCCCTCCTTTCCCATATTTAAACACTGACGTAATTGCCTCTTTGACTGTGCTTTTTGTCTTTCGCCCCCTGCCTTCTGCACATCCCCTGGCCTTTCTATGCTATCATCAGTGGTCATGACTTCAGCTACTACGCCCCTGACTCTGTAACTGCCTGCCTCAATCCCTCTGCCTTACCCCCTTGAGCAGCCAGCCCAGCAGCATCAGGAGGGAACTGAGTGAGGTGGAACAGAGTGAGAATTCTGTTAAGG